AAGCATTCGGATTCTAAATATATTTTGAAAGGACAGTCACCAAGATTTGTGGTTGGATTGGATGTGGGCTGTAGAAGAAAGAGAAAACTCAAAGAGAATTTTAGTATTTTTTTAGAATTAAGTTTTAGAATTTTTCATTTGTTGAATGGGAAGGTGGGGTTGCTATTAACTAAGAGACAGGGCTGAGGGTAGAGCAGGTTTTGGTAGTAAGAGCAGGAATTCAGATTTGGGCATGTTGTGTTAAGATATTTATTTTACATCCAAGGACTTACAAATCTGGAGTTGGTGTTGGAGATATACTTTGGAGGTCAATAGCATATTAGTGGTATTTAAAGCCATGATACTGCTGTGATCACCAAGAAAATCAGTGTAGTTAGAGAAGAGAACAGGACTAATAAGGACTGAGCTCTGGGACATTGCAACACTAAAGGGTCAGAGAGAACAAGGGCCAACAAAGGAGGTTAGGAAGAAGGAGCCAGTGATACAGGAGGAAAACAGGAGAATGTGGTGTCCTAGAAGTCGAGAGAAGCAAGTGTGTCAAGAAGGAGGGAGTGGTCCACTGTGCTGAATGCTGCTGATAGGGCAAGCAACGGGAGACCTGGCTGCTGGATCTGGTAACATGGCGGATATTGTTCACATTGTTAAAGTGTGGTTATGGTGGAGTAGTGAGGCAAAATCTGACTAAAATGGCTTTGATGGAGAAGGGTAGGAAAGGAAATACAGATAGCAGCTATAGGTAACTTTCTGGAGGAGTTTTTGTTCAAGAGGGAGAAGGAAAATGAGACAATAGCCAGGAGGATAAGTAGAATCCAGAGAAATTATTATTTTATTTTATTTTATTTTATTTTTTATTTATTTTTTAAAGATTTTTATTTATTTATTTGACAGAGAGAGAGATAGCAAGAGCAGGAACACAAGCAGGGGGAGTGGGAGAGGGAGAAGCAGACTTCCTGCCGAGCAGGGAGCCCAATGTGGGACTCGATCCCAGGACCCTGGGATCATGACCTGAGCCGAAGGCAGATGCTTAACGACTGAGCCACCCAGGCGCCCTATTTCATTTTATTTTTTAATGATTGTTTTAAAAGATGGGAATAACATCAGCATGTTATTTGTGTTTGAATGGAAATTATCTGGCTTTGGATAGGATCATGGAGTAACTTGTGTGGGGGCAAAGTATGTAGATACAGGGCTGGAGGTGGATAAACATGGTAGAAGTCTGTGGAAGTTCTCTTCTGATTATTTTAATTTTCTCAGTGACATAGGATAGTGGAGATAGGAGGAAGTTTGGAATATTTGATATGAGTAAAAGTGTGAAAAGGTTGTTCAAGAGAATAGGAAACTGAATGGTCTTGGGAAATTAAATTATGACAGCATTAAGAGTATATTTGAGAATCTGTTCATAAGTTTAAAATGAGACCATTCAGCATGACTCTATGCTTTTCTCCAGTTACATTTAGTTGTGTGGTCGAGGTTGGGCATAGGACAGAAAGCTGGATTTTAACCAGGACTCTAATTTTTCAAGTAAGTATGGTAACTCTCAAGAGAGGCAAACGAGTCAAATGTGTGTATAAAGAAACAATGACAAAGAGATCAGTCACTGAATTTAAGCTTGATATGTAGGGGATGATAACATTAAGGGGTGAAGGATAGTGGAATGGTGGTGATAAATAATTGAGGGTCCCGGTGAGTTTTAAAGATGATTGGGGGATGGGGTAGTAGAAGCAGTGAGCTGGACAGATTGGAAGTGGTGGTCAGAGGGTAGAATACATGAAATTAACATTAAAAAGGGTTGCATTTATTGCTAATGACATAGTCTAGGGCTATGACTATGGATTTAAGTCTGTGGTAGAATGGTTGACATGGAGTAGTTTAAGGAATTGAGAGGTGATGGTGTGGGCATGGTGATTTACTTCTGTGTCCAAAGCTTCAGGAATTAAGACAGGAGTAGTATTAGAGGGTATGATTAAGAGCCAGGAACTAGAATCTAGAGAAATGTGGGGGATGGCAGAGGCCTCACTAGAGTGTGATATATGATGATGTGAGATCTAAGCTGGCATTTTTAGGGAAGAGGGAAAGAGAAGTGTCTGAAAGTAATGAGGAGCAAGGATGACACCTACCTATCTCTAGGCTCTGAGGGCTACGGAATGAAAAGCAGTCTTCAACTGGGAGTCTGATGGGATATTCTTAGGGGAAAATCAGGATGTGATGAAAGCAAAGAGTAGGGAGCATTCAGAGAATTGTTCATGAAAATAGGGTGTAGCAGCCAGCCACCAAAGATGATACCCAATGATTCTCACCTTCTGGTAAGGAAGCGTTTTTTTTTTTTTTTTAAAGATTTTATTTATTTATTTGAGAGAGAGAATGAAAGAGAGCACATGAGAGGGGGGAGGGTCAGAGGGAGAAGCAGACTCCCCGCCGAGCAGGGAGCCCGATGCGGGACTCGATCCAGGGACTCCAGGATCATGACCTGAGCCGAAGGCAGTCGCTTAACCAACTGAGCCACCCAGGCGCCCCAAGGAAGCGTTTTTTAAGTCATCTGCTGTATTGAATCAGGCTGAGCTGAGTGACCAATAGAATACTGCAGAGGTGATGACATGTGATTTCTGAGGCAGGGTCATGAAAGGCACAGCAGCTTCTGTCTTGTTCTCCTAGACCACTGGTTCTTGCTGAATCCAGCCACCAGGCCATGAGGATACTCAAGCAGTCCTGTAGAGAGGTTCTTGTGGAGAGGAAGAGAGCCCTCCCCAACCTCCGCCAACAACTAGCACCAACTTGCCAACACGAGAATGAACTACATGGGAAGAGATCTTTCCTCCCCAAACCTTCAGATGACTGTAGCTCCAGCTGACAACTGACGGCGCTTCATGGGAGACTCCAGACTAAAACGATCTAGTCGAGCTGTTCTCTAATTTCCAATCTGGCAAGACGATGCTATATATAATAAATTTTTTTTTTTTAGCCACTAATTTTTAGAGTTATTCGTTATGCAGCAAATCTGTTGGTAACTAATACAAGGGGATTTTGCAAATAATGGTCATGAATTCAGAAGGCACAGTGGATGGGTTTCAGGAATGGTGGAAGGAAGGGAGAAGGTGACAGAAGAGGATAAGTAGGGAGCTTGAAGGGGATTAGTGTGTGGAGATGGGAGGGAATCTGGGAGGTTTTGTGGTAGCTGACAGACTGAAGATAAATGAAAAACTGAGATGATTTGAGATGGTTATCAAGATGGTAGTGGTGAGAGCATGTGTATGGTGCTGAAGAGGAGGAGATTTCCGGAGGTCTGTCTTCACATAGAAGTGACAGAGGAGGGTGGTCTTCATCCCAGAGCCTGTTCAGTCTTGGCCACTGGTCTTATGTGTGTGCTCTGTGAGATCTAAGAACATTAAGCAACTGGTTTGAGATCACACAGCTAATAAGGCAGAGTCAGAATTTGGATTTGGGTCCCTTAACTTAAAATCCTGCCTTTGTTCCACATTTCTGGAGACAGAAACATTTTGAAACCAAGGTACCTTCATTTTCTCAGGGCAGGGTGAAGATTAGTCATCTCAAACATATATTTGTGGAGTGTAATTATAAATACTTTTTAAAAAATTCCACATGGTAAAGTGCATAGTGACATAGAAAACAATCTACTCTGAGAGCCAATGGCCATGAGCCACCAGTAATAGAGCCATAGAGTAATACCGAGACGTAGCAGATGCCAGCAAATAGGAGAAAAGAGATGAGAACCAGAGGATGCTAAATTCATGTTTTATTGTGTTTCTCCACAGTAAGAATGTAAATTTTAGGAGGGCAGAACTAGTGCCTGGTGCCTGGTACTCAATAAATATTAGTGTGTGTGTGTAATAAATGAGGGAAAGGGGCCCAGCTGATGGAAAAGTGTTTTGGATGAGAAAATGCTCAGTAACATGTGCAGAAGAAGAGAGGGGCCCGTGTGTGGGTTCCCCTCCTCTGCCTACTCTTCATTGGCTTGCAGTGGGACCCAGACACTGATAGTTTTTTAAAAGTCCCCCAGGTGATTTTTTGGTGTAGCTAGGATTGGGAGGCAATGGACAACTTAAAAGTATTATGTTTCTCAGGAAACTTGAATGTTGAGAAATCCAGACTTTAGAGGAAAGGAATGTAGTTCTGACTAGTGCCATTTCGGACATCTGTGGGTGGGGAAGCCCCCAGAAATGACACTAACCTAGACCTTGCGTGACACTGGGAGAGGAGGTGCTCAAGAAAGGTTTGCTGTAGGGATGCATGAATTCGCACCAGGCAGATGCCTCTTGCCCTCCGTGTGTAAAGACCAATCTCTGTACCTGGAAAAACTGAGCTATGGAGACCTCAGACACTGGGATGGTCTGAGAAGCAAAAGTTCTAGATCAGTTGTGGGAGGATGTACAGGGAAGGGGATGGTGGTGAGTCCATGTGTAGACAAAACATAAATATGTCTTGCATACATATACTATTTTTTTTTTCCAAAAGGCTATTGATAATACGAGGGTGAATAAAAAACAAAATTTTCTCAAATATTGGTTTCACCCAAGCCTTTTTTTATTCTTTTTTATTTTCTTATTCAACAGATAGCAAAATAATAATTATTGTCATGTGGGAGCATTTTTCTTTTAACATTTGAAAAGAAGTCCTTATATTTAAAAAAGGATGATGTCATCTTATTCCTCTAGTCCGGAAGCTGCTTTGGAGGAGAGAAGGGCAGTGAGGGGGAGTGGCGGAGGGCTGTTCCGGGTATTCCCAGTATATTCCATTTTATTTTGCACTGGAGGAAGCTGGAGTTAATATGAGCTCTGAGTGTACAAGTTTGGTGTAAAATAAAGCATCTTCATCCTGGTCTCCTCAGAGGAAAGGCGGTTTGGGGCTTCTGGGGTAGGTAGTTTATCCACGGTCCCTCCAGCATAAGAGTAGCTCTAATTCCTGGTAAAAGCCAGGCTATCTCCCTCTGTCATGCTAATTAGCAGTCAGAAGAGTTATCCCTTTCTTTATTAGCTCCAAGGAAGAAAGGGTAAATGATAAAGGAGCATCCTTGCCTAAAATGAATGAATATAATGGGTAAATGCTTATCTTTACAGTGTGACTCACTGCTTCAAGCTGACCTCTGAATAGAGTATACACAGGCCACTTATACATTCTCCATCAAATCATTAAGAGTGAAATGACAATGACCAACCACTGTCTCTGACATTTCCTACATATGAAAAGCATTTAGGAGATGGAAAGACCAGGCAGTCATGAAACAGCTATGAAGACGCAAGAGCAAAAACATCAGCAGTGACATTCAGCTGCTCGATTATGCCAGAAAGTGGTTAGTGCCCTTTCATCTAGGTCTTTAATTCTAATGTAGACTCATAACAGGAAAAGGCCACCATTATAGAACAATGGTGGAATGAATATTTGACTTGGAGTCATAAGTCCTGGTTCTCAGTCACTGCTCTGACAGTTAAAACTTGTTTATCTTGAGTAAGTCATGTGCTCACCCAGAGTCTCAATTTCCCCATCTGTAACTGGGGAGTGAGAATAATTTCTGCTCTCCTACTTTAGTGAGTTGTATGGTCCAAATGACATAATAAGTATTCTAAACACGTTTCATAAAATATAAAATATCACGTAGATATTTGTTATTCTCATTGCATGAATTATCAATGACTAAATTTAGTCCAAAACAGAGCTGTCCAGATTGTGGCTTCACAACATTTAGTTCTGCATTTTAGAGCATCTCATATTCTCTTCAGCAGTAAATATTTATTGTAGGCACAAGAGTAGTCACGGGACTTCAGGTTTAAGATAATTGTTCTAGAAGGGAGGAGGGTGGGGGGATGGGTTAGCCTGGTGATGGGTATTAAAGAGGGCACGTATTGAATGGAGCACTGGGTGTTATACGCAAACAATGAATCATGGAACACTACATCAAAAACTAATGATGTAATGTGTGGTGATTAACATAACAACAAAATAAAAGATAATTGTAAATACGTCTCTGTAGATATCTATAGATACCCATAAACAAGTAGTGGAGAGGAAAATTGCCAAAACTTACCTGGGGAGAGCCAAGTCCACTTTTAAGGTGAAAAATGTGACTTTTTTGGTAAGGTTGATGATAAAGGTTTTGAAAAGTTATTGAAAAATGGAGATATTGGAACCCTCGGGGAGCTTGTCACGAGGAGAGAAGAACTGCTCGACCAGCACGTGAGCAAGGACCAGCAGGAGTGTAATGTGAGAGCCAGCAGGCACTGCCAGGTGCTGAAGCTTGACAGCGGTGTGCACCATGCTTTCAGGTAGAGTGTGGCATAGATGATCAAAACTTCTGGGTAAGGTGCGGGGGAAATTGGTGTCCCAGAACGGAGGCCTTGCTACCTGTAGCATCTTCAGCACTTCAGTATGTTTCCAAAATGCTCACACGCGAGGTTATTGGCACCGTATACAACTCTTGAGTACTCCTGGCTCTTCCACCTGTTTTGCCCTTCTCCATACATGAGGTCCTTTTGGTTCCATAGTTATTAATGTTTACATTTTGGTTTCCAGTACTCCGTTAACAGCCCCAGACAAGGCTGCCTTTGCCTCTTGGCCTCCTGAATTGCAATCATGTGCATGAAATTTCATATCCCAGTGCTCAGTTCAGTCCTTCCAGACCCACAGCAATTTCCATTAGTGGCCACAGCCACATTCCCCCTGCACCTGGGAAGGGAGACATACAGAAATATTTATGGTAAGTCAACAGTAAATATGTAATTCTCAGCTTCCAGATAATTAAAACAAGGAGGAAACTTAATGGTATATCACACTCATCTGGCTTTGGAGCGTTGCGTGGCTTCTGTGTACCTAAGCCTTCTTTAGTTTTGAACTCCTTTCATTTCTCACCACCTCCTCTAGCCTCCTAATACACCTTGTCTGGGACTGTTTATTTGGCTGAGCCCTACTTTTGCTTTTTTTCCAACACTAACTCTAATCTTTTACCTAATTCAACTGCTTTCTTGATGAACGATCCTGGAAAGTAAGTAGGTAAAACTTGGAGGAAGCACAATTTTGTCTTTGTTTTTCAAGGGTAAACAAGGCATATGAAAAGAACAAAATAATATAAGCATGATTTTTTCCATCAGTGCTGAGTAGAATGAAAATAGACAGGTCCACCTCATCAACTTTTTTTTTTCCCAGTAAAAAAATATATAGCCTGACCATATTTTTCCATTTTCCCTAGGACTTGTACAGGATTCTAAATTATAGTGAAAGATTGAAGGAAATGATTTTTGGAAGGACTAAAGTCAGCTGGATAGAGGGTATTTAGGGAGGTGCAGTAATTATGACTGTAATAATGTTAGGAAACTCCGTGTGAGTGTATGTACTCCCTTGGCCATCCGTTTGGAAATGATGGGCCATCATAAAACTTTTCTAGAAGTTCCTAAAGAAGAGGTCATTTAGCAGGCATTTTCATAATGATTCAGAAGACCTTCAGCTTCCAGAGGAATAAAGCTTTACAGTGAACAGGGTATTATGTGGATGTATCCCACAGAGGATCTGCTGGACAGATTGGTGTCCATATGAATTCCTTTGGCAAGAGATACTGAGAGTTCTGGACTTGTGACATTAAAATCTGGTAAAAAATGAGCCTAATGAATCAGAGGAAGGCAAAGGTTAGCTGCCTGTGTATGGGATGTGTCCTATTAACATTGAGTTTTACTATTGACTTAGGACATAGCAGAAGTGCAGCTGAGTCAGACTCTAGTGCTTCTGATCTGGGCAAAATCAGGGTTAACTAGATCAAAATTCTCTGGTGAGTAAGATAAACCAAAAGATTCATGGTATCCATTTAAAAAATTCTTTCTTTCTCTCTGTCTCTCTCTTGGGTTTATTTGCATTTCCATAATTCCTTAATCCCAGAATGAATTTATGTTTTATAGTCTGATATTTTTAATTTTTAGAATTTAGATTTGTAGCCCATTAACAGATTTTTTATTTTATTTTACTTTTTTTTTTTTTAAACCAAACAGATGATACAGAGTGGTACAATCAACTTGGTTATGTAGGAGTTTGCTTAGGACAAAATGAATCATTCATATCAGTGAAACAGAGTTCCTGCTGCCCCTTTAGTCCCTAACTCCATGGAAATTAAAAAAAAAAAAAGAATCTGTGCTAATATTTATTCAGTCATTTAATATTTTATAATGAACATTGACAGTTTTTAAGGGACCTAGATATAGCAGCACACATATTTCTGTTTGTTTCGTCATGGGTTTGGGATTTTTTGTGCAGAATTTTCATGGTTCTCTGGTTTTTAAATAGATTAGTGTGACACTGTAGAACATTTCTTGTTAGTGGGGAAAATTTGGCAGCAACAGTGTCTAGCAGAAATAGGGGTAAAATCGCTCCCAAATGGAGTCTTCTTAAAGCCTCGGAGACTAAAGGACTAGATTCTGGGTGGTCTTACTGACTCCATGAGCTTGCTGCGTATCTTTTTCTCTTGCCTACTCCCCTTGCTCACACCTGTCACTAGCCCTGACATCACACAGACACTGAAACCCGAATAGATCTAGGTCTTTCTGCCTCTGTCAGATTTAAACAAAACCCAAATAAAGTATAAAATGCCTTTAAAATTCCTATGTGCTTTTGCTGAAGTATTTTGAAGAGATGGCAACCTGGAATTACGTCGCATGGTGCATGGCAATCTTTGCCATTACCTACGTGGCTACATACTGCCCCCTCTCCCCTCCCAACTCTCTTTTCTCTCCCCTAGACAGTCAGTCAGAATCCCACCTCCTCCTGGGTCTGCCAGCTCCTCTGCCCTCCCCTGCTCCCTCCTTCAGTCTTCCAGATCTAGTCTATTCCTTAGTCTGCAGCTCAGTGCCTTCTTGGTTCTTTACCTTCATTGAGTACCCCATGTCAGTACAGGGAAGGTCCTGGCAGTGAGTAGCAAGCAAGCCATCTCCTGAAACTGGCGGGAGAAGAAAAGTGGTGAATATATTAATATTTTTAGCTCTGTCAAACAGACTCAGACACATTCAAATACAGATTTAGAACTCAGACTCTGCATAAGAAATATTGGTTGCTACCAACCTTTATTCCATTCCTGACACTGTTTCCGCTGCATTGACCGTTTCACAAGCTTCGCTGTATGCAGTTCCTGGGGAAAGTAATGAGAAGTGCCAGAAGCTATTCAGGAGGTAGTATCCTGACTGACTCTTCCAAGGGAGAAGTCTTGGCCTGACTCTGGGCTGGGGCATGAGCACAGAGGGAAACTGTTGAATGCAGCTCTATGTAGATGCCTACATTTAGGAGGGCAGTTCCAAGCCATGTTGGAAAGGAATAAGACAATGGGACAGGAAATGTGCATGTTTATTTTGCAAAAGGAAAGACAGGAATTTGTTGATATGAAAGGGAAAGAGCAGAACAAAACCAGAAAGGTTATCACAATTGAGGCAAACAGCCAGCAGAGATCAGAGGTGCAAAGGAAGAGACAATGAAGTTATCCAAGGGGGAAAGCGTGGGCAATGGAAGGTGTTAAAATTTTGTAACACCATGGTTTTATTCCCTTTAAGGAGCTTATCCTGTATTGTTTTAATGGTTGTTATTTGTGAATATGGCTTCTCTTTTCTTCTATACTCCTTGAGGGTGGGATCCAGGTTTGATTTGCTCATGTTGTGGGAAATCTTGGGTGCTCCCAGATATCCAGCGCACATCCAGAAGGGCACTGGGTAGTCTTGAATGTTTGTAAGGAGACAGGAGCTGAGCTGTTGGCTGAATAGATGACAAAAGACTTGGGGTGCCTGGGTGGCTCAGCCGGTTAAGCGTCTGCCTTCCGCTCAGTTCATGGTCCCGGGGTCTTGGGATCAAGCCCCACATTGGGCTCCCTGCTCAGTGGGGAATCTGCTTCTCCCTCTCCTTCCGGCTCGTGCTCTCTGTCGCTATCTCTGTCTCTCTCTCAAATAAATAAAATCTTAAAAAAAAAAAAAAGACTTAATCAGGAGTTTGGAAATTCTAATGACAAGCCTAACTCTAGTGTTGTGGTCTTGATACTTTCTGTTTAAGAGTTTATTTAAATATTAAGTGTTATAATCTTGACAAGTACTTTATCTCTTATCACACTGACTAAGGCTATTCCTGGCCATATACCATAAGTAAAATAAAACAAAATAAAAACATTTAAATTACAATAGGAAGCCATGTTAATTGTGGAAAAAAGTGTGAATCAACTCTAATTCCTTTCAGACATATTGATAGCTGGGGCTATAGGTATATATTTATACATTTTGGTACCATGTAGTTACTTGATAAATTATTTTATTTAACAACATAACATGAATAACTTTTCACATCATTAGATTTCAGTGAGATGTCAGAAAATGTGGTTTGAGAGCAAGTTATGTTGGAATAAATCCATATTGTGAATCATTTATTCTGTAACTTGGAAATCAGATGTTTGGAACAAATGGTATCATTAGTCAGAAAAAGACCAAATTCTTCCTAGGAACCTGAATAATCATGAAATATACAGCTCTTCACAATAGAGCCTGGTACAGGAAAAGCCATTTAGATGGCAGGACAAGGATATGACTACTTTAATAGCATTTTTGCTATATTCTACAGAAGAATCTAGTCATGATTAATGAATTAATATTTGTAAAGCCTTTCACAATATATTTAATTTTAAAACTATACACTACATTATCCATAAATATTAATTTAGGGCATGGTTTTGCCTTTTCTTTTTTCTACAAGGAAGAAAAAAATGCCCTTCATGATAAAAAAAAGTCTAATGTATTTTCTAGTTCTTAGTTTTGAACTCATATGCTACTGAAAAACTGAGATACTCTAGAAAATGATTTAATGTCAGAATTACAATACCTGATTTATTATTCACAGCATAATTTTTTATTAAATACATTTCAATCCTATTATCATTTTTTAAACTACTTATCTCCAATCAAAATGAAAATGCCCATTTCTTCATCTTTATTCATGCCTTTCACATTCCAGTGCCCTAGAAAGAGGTTTTCTCCATTCGTAAATGGAAAAATCTGGGTTGCTCATTATATCTGAAAGATAGAAAGATGTAGTGGAAATGAGTGATGAAAAAGCTCTACAACAGCGACCATTTGCTTCTTTGTGTTCGCTGCCCTAGAATAGGTTCTGTTATTTTTGTCTTCACCAAAAACCATTTGGTTCCCTTGCCAGGGTCATTTTTTTCTCCCTACCATCTTCTGGGGGGTCTAGACAGGTTAGTCACCTGAGACTCCAAAAGATGCTTTTCCCCCTGTGCATCATAACTGGGAAAAGTTTCTCTCCAAAAGTGGCACTAGGCTGAAAATAAAATTCTTTAAAAGGGTACAGTAAGAAAGCAAAAAGATGTTTTCTTTCTAATGGATGAAATGGAAATGTAGTATATGTAATGGGCCCTGAGAAGACCTAACTGATTTGTGACATAAAAATGTATTTCCTCCAAAAACCAAGCTTCCTGGAAATTTATTTTCAAATAACAGAAGTCTTGGAAAGAAACATGAAAGGTCTGCTACTATTTAAAAAGTCTGGGTTATTAAAACATATGTATATGCATCCTGAGATAAGACATACAAATTTCAGAAGGACTATCTTTTAACACAGATTTTGTTTTATTTTTTTACTTGGCATAACAGAGAATTCAACACCCTATTTCATAGATGCCATCTGTTTTTGGTTGACCTTAATTTTCTGGATGACTGCTTTTCTTCAAATATTTTAAGTCATGACTAAATTTCATTTAACAAGAAATGTTTAGGTTAGTTTGTGAACAAGAAATCAGATGTTCTCAATCCAAACATATTTTAACAAACTGATTTGTAATTGTGTAAATGCCAGGACAAAGTCCATTTTTTGTTTGTTTTTTTAAAGGCCAAGAACATATAAGGCCATATTTATTTTAATTCTACTTCATTCTGACATTTCATAAAACAATGGCATGATATTTATAAGAAAGGCAAATTCTGGCTCATTAATAATGAAAAACTGATTACAAATTTTTAAATAAAACTTACAGAATTTATGATAGATTAATTCACATTTTAATTAATAAATTTTATTTTGGACAACAATCAGTATTTCCCAAATTGGTCTGATTATAAACATTATTACAATGCTTATTAAAAATACAACCTCCCAGCCCGCTTATTCTAATAGAGTGGGTCTGGGGCCCAGGTTTAATCAGGATTCTTAGGATCCAGGGGGGTGGTTAGGAAATGCTGGAACAGAGCTGGTTCTCAGTCCCTGTGACATATTCAGTTATCTGGGGGAGTTTTTAAATATATCAGTGCTTAGGTTTACCCCCAAAACTGATTAATACAGACTGTCTTGGGACCTGAGCTTTAGAATATTAAAGTAAAAATTCCACTTCACTAGACATATGATTCCACACTCTACACTGATGGGGAATGAACTTCACGGTTATGTGAAAGTTTCTCTGTAAACAATAGAATTCCAAGATGGCTAGAATGTCAGCTCCATGAGGGCAGGAAACATCGGTGTCTGGTCATCTCTGTTCCTTCGGCCCCAAGGACAGTGACTTCCACATATTTCACAATAATGATTCATCAAGTAAGTAGTTTTATTGGCTAAAATTGTAATTCTTTTCCAATGGTATGGCCTTGTTAGAAATGAACTTCAACAACTGAACATGAAATACAGTCCAACATGGTTAAAATGAATACATGTGATTGTAGAGAGGAAGGGTGGTAGGTGAAGCTGGGGGAAGACTGATTCCGAGGTATCCAAGGTGCGCCAAAAAGAGCTTTTCTTCTTTTCCAGAAGCCCCAAGCAGGCGCCCGTCCCAGCAGCCACTGTGGTGTGTTGATCAGCAGCCCAGGTGGGAACCACATCTGTGAGTCTCCATCTCCACTCCTAGGGATGCTACAGGGTGGCAGCCAGGCCCTGGGGGCTGAGAGGGCAGAATCCCCTACCTCTGCCTCTCACGCATCCATTCTGCACCTGGTCCTTGTCAAAGCACACACTCATTTGAATTAATTTTGGCCCCGCTCCTCCTGCCCACATCTCCTTACCTTCCTGTTTATCAGCTGCTGCCAGTGTGAGTTTGGCATTCAGACTGTCATTTTTTTGGGTGACCACAGTAGCACCTAGGATGGTGCCAACCACATAGTGGTGGCCAATTCTAATACTTAAAGATGACGAAAATAATAGACACAAGAAGATGGCCAGGAAAACACATGGTATCCCTTGATAGATGGGAAAGGAAAGGTGATGCTAGAAGACAGTGAAATGGCACAAGCTTTTAATGTAGTTTTCATTTCTGCCTTTAATCTAAATGGTCAGATGTGAACACTTGGCTAACACGAGTCTCAGCTGTGAGCGGAGATTGGCAGGCCACCTAGGTCTGGGAAAGAAGTAATTAAAGAGTACCTGGAATGTCTGGGTCCAGTTGCACTAGCAGAACCAGATGATTGGCAGTGTAGCAGTGGAAGGAGAATTGGATGAATATTCGGAACACCTGGGTTCTAGTCTCAACTTACGAATGAAGTGACCTTGGGAAAACAAGGCCTCTGAACCTTGCTCTCCATACCTGTGAAATGGAAATAATATCGCCTCTCTTAGAGGATTGTTCGGAGTAAATGAAAAAAATAACGAAGCACTACTTGGACCTATGGCATATGTGACAATTGCAGATGTCATTGCACAGCTGCCAGACCTGGCTTCTGAGAACTCTTGAAGGACAGTTCTCTGCAAGATTGCAAGTAGTGTATCAGTTTCCACTGATACCTGGGAAGCAAGTGGAAACAATAATCAAACAAGTAGCAACAATTTAAAAGAACCAACAAGTTGGGAAACAACCTATATACTTTAAGAAGGTCAAATGGGGGGTGTCTAGGTGGCTTGGTCAGGTCGGTTAAGCCCCTGACTCTTGATCTTAGTTCAGGTCTTGATCTCAGGGTTGAGAGTTCAAGCCCCATGTTGGGCTCCATGGTGGAACGTATGCAAAAAAAAAAAAAAAAAAAAAAAATATCAAATGGCACCTTACCAATCTTATTAGCCTCTATAATCAAGGAAAAGCCCCCAAAGATCAGGAAATGACAGTGGAATCCTGCGTGACTGTCAAGATATTAATGTAAGCTGAGTTGTGTGGCATATGTGTGATTATCCTTAATTATTTGGTAATATACTGTATTGTGTGCCCTGTATTAGAGAATAATAATGGGGTAAGAAATCAGCTCAAGGATTTCGTATAAGGTTCGTCAATTCACCAAGATTTCATAAGAGTTGACTTGAGTATACTACAGAACCTGAAAAAGACGGTATTCTCTAACATTACAAGAGCAAAGGAAATCTGTTTGTAATGAATTTCCTATGACTGATGGAAGAATTGTGTTGTTGTTTTACAGAATACGAAGGTGTGGTATAAAGAGAAGAAATCTTCCTTGTCTAATGATTATGTATAGACCCGGGTAGCCCAAGAGCACTATTTCTCTGAAGGGTTGCCTGCTAATCACCGATAGCAGAATCATCTGAAGAACTTGTTAAACATGCAAACTGCTAAGTCCCTTTAAAGATTCATTGAATGGGAACTCTGGGTGGAGCTTGGAATGTGATTTAACCAAACACCCTGGAGCTTCTTACGCTTCTTGAAGTTTGAGATCTGCAGAGAAGAGTGGTATTATCCAATACTTAATAAGCATTCTTACTATGAATATGGCTCAAAGAATTGAGAATACCATTAAATACTCAGGTGAATCTAAATATGAAGGGATAGTTACTATTCTGGAAAATTAAAATATGAAATAATGATTTTGAAAAATTTGGAAGTGAGTCATTCAAACACAGAATAAATTTCAATGATGAAAGCAAGGAGATGTATTTGGAAACTGAACTATGGTATAATAATGACCATCTCCTTAGATTGGGACTTTGTAGGTCACCTCCTTAGAGGATCTTCATTCCCTTCTAGATATTGTTGTCAGGTTAATGAACCAAATAGCTCTACTCCCTGTGGCTCAATAGTCCCCATCCTAGGTTACACGTTAGAATATTGTGGAATAATTCTCAAAACTACCGATGCCCAGACCCTAGTCCCAGTTAATTCAGAATTTTTACATGTGGGGCCCAGGCACTGATATTTTAAAAATACCTCCAAGTCATTCTAGGTTGAGAACGAGGATTGTGAGCCACTGTGTAGATAAATGGAGGTGGGTACAGAAGATGGGAGGAGAGAAACATTAGCATGATTTCTTACTCAATTGTGTACAAAAATAGAATTTTTAAACATCTAAGCAAGTAAATATGAATGAATAATGTTACTAACCACGTTCAGTGACCAAATTGATTTTCCTTTGAAATATTCTTACACCCGAACCCTGCCTCTTTGGCTCCATCGTTACTGCCGAGTTTAAAGTTTTCATCTCACATAGGTGCAATTTCAGAAGTCCTGAAACCGGCCTTCCTGCTAGTTTTGATCATTTGGTCTGCCTGAAGCCCAAGATGAGGCGATGTTTCCCTGAGGGTCAACTCATCCTCTGGTGAGGGGGTTTGTCCATCTATCAGGAGAGTTCCATATGCACAATAGATCTGTTACCGAGTTTGTCTTTTTTATGCTTGAGGTTGGGATCAGGTGCCTGAATAAGTAGTTGGCAGGTCATATTGGAAATCTTTGTGATGCCCAGTTTGGTCCTAACTGTGTCTGTGGCAAAGTTAGCCTGGTTTCTTCATTACTGAATGACTGATTATTTGTTCACTCAATGAATTTATATCGAACAGCTGAAAGATTCCTGGCATTTTACAGGGTACTGAGTACAATGTATCAAGATAAACCCCCTCATCCTGGCCTCCTCCTAAGCCGTTCACTGTTACTTCTTTCTCTCCTTTTTTCCCCCATTCTTCTTCCCACATTTTTCTTCCCCTCTTCTCTGGAAACCTGCCTCTAACATTTTCGGCGCCTTGGGTAAAAGTGAAGTGGAGGTCTATGTACTCTATGTCTAAGTATTTAAAAACTATAAAGCAAGCCTACAAACTGCTCAAGCAGTTTCTGTCCTTTGACAAATATACTCTTGGATTGATAAAGAAGTATTCAAATTTAGAATTCCAGTGGGTTTTTCTGAGGAGTTTGGAGCTAGAATCCGGTGGTTCTGGGCAAGTCTACTCCTGGTACCCTGCACCCGGCTCCCTCCTTGCCTTTCCGCACCTCTGGCTCCTCCAGCTCTTGGAAGGGCCTCACATACATGTGGGTTATAAAATTTGCGGGACTCTGCCCTAGGCCATCCCCTTGCCCCTGCTGACCAGCTGCTTCTTGGCCACCCTGGAAGTATGTATACCATTCTGGTTAGCCCTGGGGATGGGGGCCCTGGGAGGAGGCATAGGCGGGCACTGGAAGGGGCTTAAGGTTATTTAGGCAGGGGATTTTAAAGTCTTCCAATCCCAGAGCATGGTCAGGGTAGAGAATGGGTACAGGTGTCTTTTGGGCATGTCTCCTTGCCCCAAGAGAAGGGATGCAGCTAGGGGAGTGCCAGAGTGGGACCCCTCCCTCTTAAGCATGTATCCTCTAAAGTTGGGGCCCCTCGTACCTGAGTCTGAGGCTTTTACTTTGCTGCTTATTTTGCTAATTTGACATTTATTATTCACCCCCGTTAAGTACAAGGCATACTATGTAGATATGTGTGTTGTATAGGAAAGGAGAAATGGGGAAAGATGAAGAAAGCTTGTTTTTTTTTTCTCCTCTTCTGTCTCACTAGGTTTCTCCATTGGACACTCTGCACATCTCTTGGACCCCCCCGAAAGTGTCCATATCCAGTCTTTGCCATGCAGAGGAAAGGGGGAGGACAGCCACATTTCCTGTCTGTCCTGGTGTTTTAGGACGCTACTGACAAGGGCCTGCTAGTGTAGGCTGGACAGAACAGGCTGAGTGGATTTAAATTATAGCACATTGCACACATTACCCGTAAATAGGCTTTATGTTCGACATATAATTCCTAATTTGGGGAATCTTTTGCATCCATTTCAGATTATGCTTTAATAAACGCAAATAAATTCATCTGTGTCAAAATCTAATTTTATTTTCCTCTTTCCTTTATGACGAGTAAAGGGAGTTCAGAGGCAGCTTCAAAACTTGACTTCTGGGCCCAATAATAAATATGCAAATGCATGCTAAAATAGAAATCCAATTCGAAATAATTCAAGCGAAATTACATAGAAAAGGTTAGCTTAAATGGGTGCTTTCTACCTGTCTCTTTTTATTTGGTGCCGTGTAGAGAGTAGAGAATCGAAGCTGAAGATTGTTACTCAAAATACTCTGAACGCACACAGGCACTTTGGGAACACTGTGGGCTTTTGCTGGACTCTTGGGGCAGCTATTAGGGTTAGGTTGTGCTTATCCAGGAAGAAGGATACCTTCTTCGGTGGTAAAGTCCGCTAGGCACACCTGAAATAGGGAAAGATAATGGAGGAAAAATACTAGTAAGTACTCCGTGAAGATATGTACTTTACAGAAAGGCAGTTGGCAGTGAATATCCTTGAAAAATCTGCTGTGGGCTTTTGAGGGAGAAAAAGCAAGAAAGAAGTGGCTTTTCTGAAACCAGATCTTTGTGTAAATTCGATAGGAGATCCTTCTCTGGGACTGTGTGCCTTGATTGCTTAACTTAGGTAATTGTATAGAGGAAAAGCTTTCTGGGTATTTGTTGTTGAATAATTTAGTTTATCCTGCTGATTGAAAAACATCTAAACCAGCACCAAATTGGCTTTAAATTTTTTCCATATTAAGACCAATGAGAATAATTTTTAAGTTTATTGTGGTTTCCTTTAAATACATTTCAGCTCTTTCCATAAAAATGGCTCATTTGGCATTGAATAAGGTAATTTGATTAAAAT